TATATATATATGTATGTATGTATGTATATATACCAATTGTTCCAAAAAAATTTAAATTTAGAAGGATACAGTAAAATTTCTCAATTATTACTATTATTATTATATATAAATAATTAATAAATAAAAATGTATAATATTTTTGGAAGTTAACTATTTTTTTAAATTGATATTTGCAACACCGAAAGTGTACATTACATGTCTTGTGTAGTCACATTTATCATAAAATTTGTCACATTTTATAGCAAGTATGAACTTACCCGTCATACAATATTATACATTCTATGATGAGTAAAGTCATATTCACTATAGAATGTGCAGTTTCTATGATTGGTATGGTCACACTTGTGATAGAAAGTGTGTTTTTTAAATATTCTTTTTTCATTTTTGAATTTTCCCAAAATTGTATATAAAAAATACATCCCAAACAATTGAATACAGTATATTGTTGTCTAGTTCAATAAAAACATATATAAAATACAATATTTATCATTTAAAATACAAAGTAAACTAGCTAACAATAAAAGAGAGTTAACAATAAAGCTAAAAAACTATCATTAATAATAACAATGAATAATTACTATAAGAATATACCAATCTTATCAAGTAACAATGGGTCTAAAGTAAACTAGCCAATATACACAAAGAAAACTATAATAATATACAAAAACATAAATCAACTCTCAAATTGACTCAAGAAAATTATATGTCCATCTTTTACAAATATCTTCCAATTTTTCATCAACAAATGGAGTTGAATTTTTGAATACCTACAATTAATTCAAAATAGAGATAAGTTAAATATTACTCAATTATTAATTAATTAAATAATCATTTAAAGTAATTAATTTTATTTAAAAATATATTACCTTTCTCCATGAGTCCTTAATATTGTCGATAATAATGGTGAGCTTGTATTTTATCACGTAGTAGTAGCACTCATGATTACTCAATTGATATGGGCACTACAATTTAGTGAATATAAAACATAGTTAGAGTATACTTTAATTCAACTATATGTATTATTATGTTGACATTTGACTTACTCTCAGGACAATATATTGAAGCTTCTTCCAAGCTATTAGAGGAAGGCCCTAGAAGATCAAACTTGCATCCAAAGACCTATGAAAATGAATGATAAGCCAAAAATAGTTAAAGAATGAAATTATTATTTATTTCATGAAATTATTATAAAAAAAAAAACATAAAAATTGAAAGTGATACTTACAAGTCAATGAGGTATCTAATAGGCAACTTAGTAATTTTCTTGTGTAATGAACACAAGTGAAATATATATGAAACTGCCTTAAAATTATAACGAGTTGCCAATGCTCGTTGTATTTTGTAATATTGTTAAAAACTTGTAAGTTAATTTAAACGTTAAATAAAATATAATACAATTACCCATTCAAATAAGGTGTTAAGTAGAGATTCTTCCCTCCTAGCTTGAACCAGTCTATCAAATACCCCTTCACTTTAGTGTCTTTAGTCCCAACAGTTAGATGACAACTAGGTCAACGAAACCATAATAATAAGCATTTTGCATCTCCATAGAGATGTGATGAAGAGTCCTTAAATTGTGAAAATAAACATAATGTTAGGAATGTATAATTGGATATATTAAAATATTAAAAAAAACATTAGAATTAACACTTACTTTATTCATAATTGCATTACTAGTATGGAAAGGATGTCATCACCAAAAATGATATCCATTGCATTACGCTAGCCTCTAAAGAAAGGGATAGGGTTCTTCCTACCAACAATCTCAAGAGGCATGGTTACCTCTATGTTACGCTTCTTGAGATTCAGTGTTGTTGGAGCCAATTAATGAAGAGAAGAAAACTCAGAAGGTGTTGCATTTATAGCAGCAACCATTTTTCCCTTTCCAAAATCAACCTAAACATCATATAATACAATTTATTAAGTAAGTTGTAAATCACTACCAAAACAAGCCATAAACTATATATGTTTACTATTCAGATTATCATATGGATTCATTCCATTTATAATAAGCCCAAGCCTAAGACTTTTTGGATCATTATCAAAATCTGGAAACATGAAATCTATTTTCTTTTATTGCAAAGAATTCGTCGATTACCTCAATTGTCCATCTTTTTTTTATCCATCTACATGCCACCTAATTTTTTGACATCATGGACATTAGTGAATAATCGCTTCAACCTTGGAACTATAGGAAGATAACATAACACCTTCATTAGAGGACTCTTGCTCACCCCATATTTAGAGTCATCTTTCTTCATTTTGTATTATGATTCCCCACATTGTGGACACTCATGTAGCTATCAAAGTCTTTTATGTATGAAATGCAATCATTCAGACACACATAGATTTTTTATAATTCATATCCATTGGACACAATATCTTTTTTGCATCATAATTATTTGTCAGCAATGTGTTACCTTCAGAAAGCATGTCACTCAACAATTTAAGCAATTTTGTGAAGTTTTTATCAATCCATCCATTTTTTGCCTTAAGGTTGAACAATCTTAACACTGTGGACAACCGTGTAAAATTAGTAGAGTCTGGATACAAAGGTTTCTTCGTATCATTGCGGATATAAGCTCGTTCAAGATGCATATACCAATTCAAAGCTACCCCAATTAAAGAATCCTGAAAACAATGAATAAGCAACTTATCATTGCGAGCATACAATGTCATCTTTCTATAATACATGGTCATGTGATTCTTTGGACAGCTTGTTCCTTTAGATTTATCAAATTCAGGAACTTTGAACTTTGGGGGGAATTCTATATCTAGAACCAAACAAAGATTGACAGCTTCACCAATATCATAACTACATCCTTCCACAACCTTTAGCCTCTCTTCTAGCATTTGTAACCTCTCACTAGACTGAATGTGCTCAATTCCAGAGGTTGGTTGATATCCCCCAGAAGTTTGGTGAGGATTCCTTTGGTTGATCAATTCAGTATTTTGGGGTTGGCAGGGAACTTGATATTTATAAAAGGCAACATTCATGGGTGAACCCCCGGATTGGGTAGGTTGCATTTGCGTAGGCGGCTGATTCACCAATAGTTGGTGTTTATCCAGTGGGTCCATGATTGTTGGAGGTGTGTAGTTGGGCGGAAGGCCATATAATGGCCATTGGACCTCTGGAAGATCAACTTGTTGGTCGGGTCTATTAAGATGTAGAGTTAATGGTTGTGATGAGATTGGGGTAAAGCTAGGTGGATACACAGGAGAAGTTGACGATTCTCCTATGGTTATTGGAGGGGTCCCTTCTACATTTTTCGTTTGCATAGACTACAACATCTCTAGAATTTGGGTCATTTGTTCCTTCAACTGATTGACATCATTCCTCGATTCTTCGTTGCATTCCTCTATCTCATCCATGATCTTGGCTTGAGAGCGTGTCCTATAACGATGCCGAGAAAACACTTTTGTTTTTTTATTTATTATTTTATGAATACAAAGTGAATTTATGAGTATAAAAGAAAAGGAAAATGAAACAAATTTTGGAAAGGATTGATTTTGTATTTAAAGTGAAGAGTGATTCCCCACATCTCAACGCTAGAGGAAAAACCCCTTAGGTCATACGACGGTTGACACTTATTTCAAGGGAGCATTCACTCCTCAATGGATAAGGTCATTTTACTAGCAATGCAACACTACGAGCCACATTTTCAAACAAGGATCACTCATCTCAAGATCAAAATGTGATTAACAATCACTCAAGGGAGAATTCTCTCCTCAATAAATGATGTCTAAAACAAGTTATATATTAAGTCAAATGTGCTATTATTATATTCCTTTTGAAAGTTTGAACGAACCTCCTTAGTCATCTTTTGGCAGATCTTACCTACCCTTTGGAGATCATTTTTTTAGCACATTTATCCTAATACTTTTGCTTAACCCTGATGCATTGCTAGTATGATTTTGAATCTCCTCCATATTGAATACTATCAATTGTTTTAAAGTGTTAATGAGACAAAGACTTAGTTAAATGAAAAATATGCAACCTAATATGCCCCTAATATGCATGTATGCATGGCCTTCCATCATTTTTATCTTTTATTTATTTATTAAATTTTATTTTAGGCAAAAAAAAAAACAATCTAGATACTAAAGTGATGCATGAACATATTAACATACTTTTTTTTTGTTAGCACGAACATGTATAAAAGGAGAGATAAATAATAGTACAATGTGACTTATTACGATAAATCTAGGGTAGCAAATTTCTAAGGTTAACACCCTAATTTGGAAGGTTATTAAGTCCACCTATTAGTGCATGGTTTTATGCGCGGATCTAGACTCCTTAAGATGTATTGGTCCCCAGGTTGCCCTTATCATATAAATAAAGACCTAGCACATGAATCGATCACAAGTAGGGAACATACCCTCTCAATATGATTAACTCATACTACTAGTAACAACTTGAGCAGTAACTTAACAACTGTCAAGTGAGCATCAATCCCTTCAATAACAGTCATCAAGCCACCTTCTATTCTTAGGCTCGCACAGGCTCGGGTATAGAGCCCAAAGTGTGTGATGTACAAGTGTCAGTGGGTGTGTGGGGTAACAAATAGACATGTAAACCTAAAAATTATCCAAATCTCACAAAAGACAGGTAAAGAAAAATGTATATATAACAAATAAATAAATAAAGCTCTAATTTAAGCTTAAATCCAAACAAAACATGTGTAGCCAAACAAAAAAAAACAACAATATATATATAAATAAAAATAAAAAAGGTAACATCAATATTTATAAAGTTATAATTTTGCGCAATTAATTTAATAAGGCCTAACTCTCAAATGTCCCTAGTGGAGTCGCCATCTGTCATAACCGGAATCACAACGGGATGGCGCAAACATTTTTTTCAATGGAACCGCCACCAATCTTTTATTTTAAGGGAAAAACATTGGAAAACCCTTTAAAAATAATCTTTAAAATCAAAATTGGGTTCGAAAGTCAATTACGTGTAGGGAAGATATTAGCACCCTACGACGCCTGTAAAAATACAGTAAATTAATTTCGCAAAATTACATAAATTTATAAATATTTAATCTGCCCTAAAAATATATTTTGTCATGTTTTATATATATATAACCTTTATAGATGAAGAAGAAAAAAACTTTTTTTGCATTTTTATTTGAAACTTGCATAATAATTTAAGTTAACAAATAAATAAACATTGAGCGATCATAATAACGCTAAAAATAGAATTAACATTACTAATTTTTTTTGGAATAATCTTTACACAAGAATTCGAGCTAACAAGTGGCTAGTCATTAAACTCTTGTAATCAAATAACATTAAAGATAAAAATGTTATTCAATTAACGTTATTATTTGTTGTATATTGAATACTTTCTAAACAATAATCTTGAAGACAACAAATCATATTCACTCTGTACATACAATTATTTTCAACAAATAAAAAAAAGAAAAAAAAAGGTTAAGAAAAGAATATGATACCAAATGTGAGGCGAATAAATTGTTGAACATGTTATCGTGTTGAATCTTCAGATATGAGGATCTATTAGGTGCTTTTTGGCTACCTTTCACACTACACAGATGCCTCACAGATCTCAAGAAATACAAAAAGAGAGAGGATTTTTGAGCTATAAGGAATCTTAGACCAATTTTTTTTCTCCCCCTGAGAACAGTGTCCGAGTCTGCTATATATTTATAGATGTCAGACCTGACCAGAACGGCCTATTCCGGATTCAGAACGGCCCGCTCTGGATCATTCAATTATAAGCTAAATTTGAACCTGGAATGGCCCGTTCCAGATTTGAACGTGTACCATAACGAACTGCACTAGAACGGCCTGTTTTGGCCCGTTCTCAATTAAAGTTGTAGGTCTTTTTAGTAACTTGGAACGGCTCGTTCCAATTTAGGAACGCCTTGTTCCGACTTGGAAATGGCCCGTTGCGGTTTTGGAACAGCCCGTTCTGGTCTACTAAAACTAACTTGTTTGGGCTTCAAGCCTCCTTGTTGTCATATGGTGTTGCTTCCATACTTTGGGAGCTCCTCTACTTCATAGTAGATATCTATTTCATTGCTTTTGTGGGTCTGGATAAAATTGGTTATTTACAACGCCTAAACTCTCACGGTTTTACTTTTAAGTATCACCCAAAAAATTTCTTTATCATTATAGTGTTTGTATTTTATAAGTTGTTATTTCTTCTCTTATTTTATTGATGTGAGACTTATTTATTTATATCCCAATACTTAGGAAAGAAAATTAAGTTTGTGAAAAATGATAGTGTAAGAGCAAAAGCTAAATATAAATAAGCTGGATGTGAATGGGAAATGTTTTATGGCTGGAATATAGTCCAATACGCAAAAGTTTCCATACTGAAACTTCTGTTGAAGAACACACCTGCTGTAGGAATTCATTGCTTTTAAGTATATAATATAGGGACATATTTGGGAGCAAGTGGCAATTGTCAGCGACCAATTTGACATTCAGTTGTGTTTGTGAGGGACTGATATGATAGGTTTTATGCATTTATGGAGAAATTCTATAAAGTGATGGAAGATTAAGGGGTTAAAAGGAGTGATTCCTCCACGTCCTTCTTGTTCCAATTAAAGCTCTTACCACGGTATCAAACACGCATATTGGTACCATCGAAATTTGAGCTTCCACTTGCAGCAAACTTGATATTTTGATATTCCTTGGTTGATATGATGGGGAAAAATTTTCCGTGGTTATAGAGACTTAACATGTAGATCATGTCAACTATCTTTCGATTACAACCAATCTTGTGGATAAATCATTTGTAGTAAGATCTCTCATTCTATTTTTTTTTTTCTCTCTACAAAACTTGAACATAAAATTTTGTTTTTTTATTCAGATCAACAATTTGTTAATTATATATATCATTCTTTTTTTTTTTACTAAAATTATATATATATATATATATATATATATATATATCATTATTTGTTATATATAAATTTGTATCATATAAATGGTGAAATCAAAAGTTAGTTGATCGTGATTTGAGCACATAAAAAATGTGCATTTACTTTTTAATCTTAATGGTTTAAATATCTAAAACCTAAATTTATAGTTCTTGTTTTTCATAGTAATAAAACTTTTTTTATAAATTAGATAAATTTATAAAATTCATGCAAATTTAGAGTTGTCTAATACTTTATTACACTATTTTATTTTAACAAATAATGTGTTGTTTAAGGGATAAATGAGTATCTATTATTTAATAACATCCTAACATGTTTAAATTATGTTTGACAAAAATAATATTGTTATATATACACGCATTTTTTAATCTAATTAAAGTAACCCCACGTAGTAAAAACAGGCTTTATTTGTTACTGCGGTTGTGGATGATGATGAGTGCAATGACAAAAAAGTAGTTTAGTTACCTTTGTGAACATCTACAGCATGATCAGAATGAGAGCAATTTAGTGCGACAATCTAAACGGGTGTGTTTGACTTGTTCAAACAAAGCGTTTGGTTTGTTTTGCTTCCCTATGGCAAATGCTAAAAAGACGCATGCAACGTTGGAGAATTGTCGAAAACGCAATGTTCCCTCCACATTCTGTGGCTGATTATTTGGAACTCGAAGTCCCTTCCTCTTTTCCTCCAAAGATTGGATGCGTTAGAGAGAGAGAGAATCCCTTATAGGGATCCAATGAGACCCCATTTCACGCTTCTTTGTTACTGTTTCATTCCATAATTCTAAATTGAAAACTCCCTCATCCTCATCCCTCACCCTCACCCTCACCCAGGAGGTATGGGGAAGATAGAAAAAAACAAGAACACCCCAACACCACTACCTTTTCTATCATCCTTAATGTCATCATCATCTGTGATGGCTACCCTCCTGGTCCTTCTCTTTGCCTTCTCCTCTCTCCTAGGCCTTGCTTCATCCTTCACCCCAAAAGACAGTTTCCTCGTTGACTGTGGTGCAGAAACTGCTCTCACCCTCCCTGATGGCAGACAATTCAAATCAGACCCTCAAGCCTCTTCTTTCCTTCAAGCCAATGATGACTTCAAAGTCAAAGCAGAAGGTGTCAATCTCCCTTCCCCGGTTTACTCCAATGCAAGGATCTTCATCCAAGAAGCTAAATACTCCTTCCATTTGGTCCAACCAGGGTTTCATTGGATCAGGCTCCATTTCTACCCCATCAAGAACAACGTCTTTGATCTCCAGAAGGCCACTTTCTCTGTCTACACAGACACCAATGTGCTCCTCCACAGGTTCAACGTCAACAACACTGACAAGCCAATCCTCAAGGAGTACCTCATCAATGTGACTCAGCCTCAGTTCACCTTGTCCTTCATTCCTTTGAAGAATTCAGCTGCATTCATCAATGGTCTTGAGGTTCTCTCAGCTCCAGACAACCTCATTTTCGACACCGCCGCCGCGCTTTTTCCGGTGGAGGAGTTCACCGGCCTGGCCACCTACAGCTTTCAGTCTGTTTACAGGCTCAACAACGGAGGCTCTCTCATAAGCTCATCAAATGACACCCTTGGAAGGACTTGGGAATCTGATGAGCCTTTCCTCACAAACAAGAACTTGGCCATGAGTACCTCAGTGGCTACCTCAGCTATTAAGTACCCCAAAGACACTCCAACCATTTCTCCTCTTGTGGCACCACCAACTGTGTATGCTTCTGCCACTGAGATGGCTCAGGCTACTGTCAATCAGCCAAAGTTCAATGTCTCGTGGAAATTTGATGTGGACACTGCTTTTAGCTACCTTGTTAGGCTCCACTTCTGTGACATTGTCAGCAAAGGGCTCAATGAACTCTTCTTCAATGTCTATATTAATGAGAAAATGGCAATGCATGATGTGGATTTATCAGCCCTCACTAGTGCCTTGTCAACCCCATATTACAAAGACATTGTGGTGAATGCAACATTGATGACTAAGGGACTAACTGTGCAGGTTGGTCCAACGAGTACTGATGATACTGGTGGCAATGCCATTGTGAATGGCATAGAGATCTTCAAGATGAGCAACTCTGTGAACAGTTTGGATGGGGAATTTGGAGTTGATGGGAGAAGTGCTAGTGGTTCCAACCGCGGCACGGTGGCTGCGGTTGGATTTGCTATGATGTTTGGAGCTTTTGTTGGTCTTGGTGCCATGGTGATCAAGTGGCACAAGAGGCCTCAAGACTGGCAAAAGAGGAACAGCTTCTCCTCATGGTTGCTGCCTCTGCATGCTGGTGACACAAGCTTCATGAGCAGCAAGAACTCAATGGGGAAGAGCAACTTCTTCTCCTCATCAATGGGATTAGGCAGGTACTTCTCCTTTGCAGAACTTCAGGAAGCAACCAAGAACTTTGACTCCAAGAACATCATTGGTGTTGGTGGATTTGGCAATGTGTATTTGGGAGTGATTGATGAGGGGACTCAGGTGGCTGTCAAGAGAGGAAACCCTCAATCAGAACAAGGCATCAATGAGTTTCAGACTGAGATCCAAATGCTGTCAAAGCTTAGGCACAGGCACTTGGTGTCCTTGATTGGATACTGTGATGAGAATGATGAGATGATCCTGGTTTATGAGTACATGCCTAATGGACACTTCAGAGACCATCTTTATGGAAAGAACATGCCTGCTCTCTCATGGAAGCAAAGGCTAGAGATCTGCATTGGATCGGCTCGAGGCCTTCACTACCTTCACACTGGCACGGCTCAGGGCATCATCCACCGCGACGTTAAGACCACCAACATCTTGCTTGATGAGAATTTCACAGCCAAGGTTTCTGATTTTGGACTCTCAAAGGATGCACCAATGGGGCAGGGTCATGTTAGCACTGCTGTGAAGGGTAGTTTTGGTTATCTTGACCCTGAGTACTTCAGGAGGCAGCAATTGACAGAAAAATCTGATGTGTACTCATTTGGGGTGGTTCTGCTTGAGGCACTATGTGCAAGGCCAGCCATCAACCCTCAGTTGCCAAGGGAGCAAGTAAACTTGGCTGATTGGGCAATGCAGTGGAAGAGGAAGGGCTTGCTTGACAAGATCATTGACCCTCAACTTGTTGGTTCCATCAATCCTGAATCTATGAAGAAGTTTGCTGAGGCTGCCGAGAAGTGTTTGGCTGATCATGGAGTAGATAGGCCTTCAATGGGAGATGTTTTGTGGAACTTGGAGTATGCCTTGCAGCTTCAAGAAGCCTTCACCCAAGGAAAGGCTGAGGATGAGACCAAGTTATCTGCAGCAGTGCCTGCTGCAGCTGTTCCTACTTCACCTGTCCCACCAACACCGCCGACACCACCCACTCCTTCTGACAACCGCCCGGCTGCGCGGCCAGAAGTGAATAACAATGCTCCAGCTGAAGTGCAATCTGTTGAAGACCATTCTGGAACTGCAATGTTTGCACAGTTTGGCAATCTCAATGGCAGGTGAAAGAAGCCTAAGTAATTTGGTTTCCTGAATGGATCCACCACCTGGACTGATGAAAATTTGATCAGGTTCAAGAGATGTTAAAGTAACTGTGAGAAGGTTTGGGCCAAAAAGTTCATGTGTAATGATGCTGTGATACTGTATGCTGTTTCTCTTCTAGGTGCTCTTGTTTTCTGTATTGTGTGGGGTATTATTTTGCATGCTAGCAAAGAATTGTATGAAATATGTAAGGTGATTAACCTGTTGGTTTGTAAGTATACATGCACTCAACAGTACCATTAATCATATATGGTATTTTATAAATGAATTGTTGTATATTGTTATGTACAATTTAGGGAGGGGTTATTGTAGAAGCAAGTTCAAAGAAACTGGCTACTAGAAGGTAGTGAATTTGATTTGAGTTCGTATGTAATCGACCAAAATTGTAGCAATAGTTTGTCTTTTTACAAAAATTGTCTCATTTAGCCTTCTGAGTTTTTCTTGTTCATGTGCCTGCTGCAAGAGAATGAAATTGAACTCGATGTTCACTGAGGCACTTAAAAACTAAATTTACATTTTCAGTATTGCTTTGTTCATGTGAAACGCGAAAGTATTGAAATAACTAACCGCTATAAAGTTAATGTCTCAAAGCGAAAAGTGAAAACTAAATGCATCTTGTTTTTCTTTTTGAAACCATCTCTTAGAAGCATCAAACCAGTTTTGAAATTGTTGAATAAGTCCCTTACAAGCAAGTACTGATAAAAAGTGTCATCCCAAAAATTTTATATCAAAATATAAAACAAGTAAATAGTCCAAAGAAAACAAAACTGCATCTATTAATAGAAGTAGCACCATCTCCTTTTTCTACCTTGTAATGATCCAAATAGAGAATATGTGCCTAGCTACTCCCGCAGCTCTACGTATATTTAACTCATTTAGCTTCAACAAGATATCTTCTCATGACAAATTATTCTGATACTGAATGCAGTCAGTCAGACTTAGATGCAACAAACTGTGTGACCAATGTTGCAGCATTTTATGTAGTTGTGCTTTTACAAATGAGAAATGCAAGTCCTTGTTTTAAAGTAATTTTGATGGTTGATCCGCTGTATACTTTGACTCAAAAGAGGAGTACTATAAGACAACTACTGATATGTAAATTTATTGTCATTGTCAAAATTATGATGCTATTAGACATAGGTTCTTTGGATGAATTTTTTGTGGAGCACTTCTTTAGACAAGTTGACTGGCATTGTTTTGATTAAAGAATTTGAAGTTTTACACGTTTTTACATTCATTGAATTATCATCGTTCTGTTCATAAAAAAATATTATGTTGATTAAGATAAGAAGATATTTATAAACAACTTTTAATATCGATTCTTAAGCAATGTAAAACCTTTTATTTGATTAGAGCATTAACTTATTCATAAGCTAATTTATAAATGTTCTCTTATAACTAGTGCAAAATCTATTTTTAATTTGTATATAAACTAATTTTAACTTATGAAAAAAATTATTTTATTTTTTCTCTTAAAAATATTGAAATTTATTTTTTTTTTATTCTTAAAAATGTTGAAATTTATCAAAACTGTCCATAACTTCTAAAAAGAAAATGACTTTCTTTTTAGCTAGTCCGATTTCTAAATGAACAGAACCAACAATTGTTTCATCAACCGTCATCCCAAGTACAACACTTCTTTTTTGTTAGAGAACCCATTACTGGAGGTGCAAATCATTGTCCATTTTTCCATAAATTTATGGTTACATAACTAGTGGTTGTATGCTTCATAGAAAAATTAATAGATCGCTGTGGTTTACGGTCTATAATGTATCACAGTATGTCTCACACTCAGGTAAAAGAGAGGGTTCTGTAGTTGCAATATAAAACTAGTCGATAAACCAACAGTGATCACTCGTAACATGGCGTTGAATGACTACCCACCCTCATCTAGTAGGATAAGATTTTTGTTTGTTTTATCCTTTTTATTGTGGCTGTCGTGCATCAATCCTTCAAAAGTGTTTTACCTTTCTGAACGTCTAGACAATCCTCTGGTAAATAAGATCAAGCCAAAAAAATATATTGGCAGGGTAACCGCTCAACCTTTCTCCCTATCCATGCAGAATGGCCCCCACTTGTTACCTTGCAGGGGGGAAATATTTTAGTATAGCGATACAACTTCATTCATGCTGATTCAAACTTAAAAAATACAGTGAGCAGTCCAAAACATCTATGATGTTATTGTCTTATTGCTACCGTAGTTCACTTGTATGCACGTGTGCTGTGTCATACCAATCGTATATAGACAGATCTGTGTTGAATCTTTCACACACGGGTACCATCAAGCCATTCAAGATTGCAATATCTCATACAAAAACTGTTCTGAGAATTCAACATGACACATGAAAGATAAATCACTATAGTATACATGACAATGAATAGGTTACCGGTTTGCAAAACTTTTGATCACTAATGTCAACTGTAAGAAAGTTAATTTGAGGTCAGTGATCCTCTCTGTCAGGCGTCAGTGAGAATAATACATGGTTGCAGCTACTGAGAAAGCACAAGGGAGGAGAAAAACAGTATCTATGTCAAGCAAAAGACTAGTAGCAACAAACCTAACTATGGCCAAAAGAATCACCAACCTCCCTATCAATACAAAATTAGAATGCAAGAATTCATCCTCGTTTTAGTTCATCAATGGACTATGACAATCTTTTCTTTTTAAAGCTGTCTACCTCCCCATCAAGCATAACAAGATCGTCTTCATCGTCAATCACTTGCAATTGCTTGTGATGTTTTGCTTCATCAGCAGCATTTGAATTGTCGGAATCATCAGGAAGTTTTCGTTTCTTCAAGGCTGAAACTATAGCTATCTCGTCATCCTTTTCAGATTCCACAGCTGTTACTCCATCTGAGGTGCTTGCGCCATTGCCAATACGTTTGTCCTTATTTTCTGCTGTTGACACTGGTTGAGTCCATCCTGAGAGAACCATGCCATCGGGTTCTTTCTCTTCATCAAATTCCTCTCTGAAAATCACCGATGAAATATAGTACTTTAAACAAAGAAAAAAAGAGACTACAGGATCCATAGGTATAGGAACAAAAAACTAACTTAATGCAACATGTGAGAGGGAAGATAAAGAGAAAAAAAAAAAAAAAAAAAAAAAAAAAAAAAAAAAAAAAAAAAACAGACACTATAAACTTACCAAGCTCCTCTAGCATTGTAGTATTTGATCCAACATTTTTCACAGAATACAAAAATTAAATTAGAGTCTAGTAAAAACCTGTGCTTGATGTTAATATTGCAAACAAATTCCTGCAGCATATCCTCTACAGTGAGCATTGTGCCACCAGTTACCGGGGAAGGAAGCTCAGACAGAACCTGAAAATGCGAGGAAACAGGTTTATAAATAAAATGTGTCTTTTTTAAAATAAAGACAACAAACATACCTTTTCAAGGTTGGCCTCGTAAATTGCAATCATGTCTTCCTCAACATCACCAGCTTCATAAAGGAGGTTTGAAGCACACATAATAAGAGGAAGGTTCATACCAAGCTTTGCCTTGACAATTTTTTCGACTAAGTCTTTCAACTTTGAACGGTTGGTGTTTATTTCAAGTGATAAAGGTGTCTGTTTTGCACATATTTGAATATATTGTGTGTGAGCATGTTTGTAACATTGAATTTAGGAAATATATGCAACAAAAGGGAGATTTCACAAACCTCAGAACAGACATAACAAGACTTGTTAGGTTCAAATGGTTCCACCGGCATAAGCAGCATGTTTCTTGATGGATGTTCCAGACAATATGTCATTCTATAATGTCCAGATAAGATTAGAAAAACTTACAATAGTGAAATTAATGCTGACTTGTGAACTACAGAGTAGTGCATTAATCAAGAATTCATTACAGAAGAAATGAGCACAAAGGAATTAACAGGAAGGATAAGACAAGATCCAAACAATCTAAAATAAATTAAGGTATAGAATACAGAAAAATAAGGTCAGAACAAAAGAGATCTGCAATTTTTCCCCCAATGCATCTTGGTTAATAACATTTCACAATGCTTCTCAAACCCAAACATACAGTAACAAAACAACTTCCCCATCACTACTACAACCAATCCAAAACAAATAATATGCAGGAAGAGGAATCAAATCATACCTATAATTTTTAATGTCATTTTGCAGCACTTTGATTGCTTCAATGACAATCAACCCGGCAATAACAGCATTTGTAGTTGCAACAGCATGCACAATATTACCAGCAATACCTTTAGCTTCAAAAAGGCTGTGCAAAGGGATGCCAAAGGAGGCAGCCCGTATGTTTGCAGCTGCAGTAACAAATTCTACGGCCAACTGGTCATCTTTATCGAAGCTTAGATTGCCAATCTCCTGCTCAAAGATCCATTTAAAAATAAAAAAAAAACAAAAAAAAAATAGTATTCAGATAATAGGTAATATAAAAATATGATCACTACATCAAAGCAAGTATCATAACAGACCTTTTCCCTTTTTGTAAAAAATAGTCTCAATGCTTCAATAAATATTTTAGAATTTTCTTTGAGAGTCCAAATATCCTGCGGGTTCTTCATACCCAAAGATGCCATGGAAGAAACTGATAATTCATCATCAGATGCATAATTTTTCTCCAAATTTCCATTTTGTTGAGCCAGTTCATCAGACAAGACATCTTTGCTGTATATAGGCTTTGGTCTATTACGACTTTTCCATGTCTCTTCATTAGACAAAGCTAATTCAATGTTATACCCAAACACATGATCAAAAATTTTCCTTCCATATTGATCAATGTCTTCATCTTTCCTGCGTTCAAATACATCCTCTACATTTTCTGATGAGCTGGCAGCATCACTTGATCGAACATTTAAGTCATTGTCCTGATTCTTGTCTCCAAATAACTTAGCAAAAAGTAGTTCTTTAGCCCACACAATGCAGTGAACGAACTGCCAAAAAAAGATGAAAGCAGAAGATGGAAGTAAATATCAAAATGCTTCTATTTGATGATCAATTACATAATGTAAAAGCCAATAGCTTGAGTCTATCATTTTATCCATTTGCCTAAAATATAACTAATATATCAGCCTTCAATATTGCGTTAATCTACCTAGTACTAGTAGCATCCATCAAGATACAACAATGCATCATAAATTCCCCATTGAGTGACCCCAGTTCCTATTGTTTCATATTTTCTATGTCCTAAGATACAAACAGTTAGATGACTAGCAAAAGAAAATGAGTAACCAAAGGAGTACACAATCAATATAAGCATAGTAATAAAATAC